AGGCACTGTGGGAACCAAGCGGGGCCCTCGAGGACCGGGCCACACTCCCCTTCTCAGAGGCCTGGGCTGCGGGTCACCTCTCCCTCTCTCTGGCTCCTTTTGGGCATCCTGGTGGTGAAGATACCCATAAGCACCAGCCCCCAAGACCACATGCTCCCCATCTGCACGGCCACCACCCTGTCACTCCTTCACCTCTGAGCACCAACTCCCAGGGGGAGACTGTGGGGGCGTCCGAGGGCCCCGGTGGGACCAGCAGCTGGGCCAAGGAGGGGGTTGTGCAGGCAGGTATCTGTCCACAGGAACTCAGGAATGTGCAGGTGGGTGACAATCTTCTATACCCTCCTCCTGCCCAGGTGCACTGTCTTAGGGTGAAGCCCTGGGGAAGTGACTTACACTAACTGTCTGCAACCTGGGGGCGGGGACGACAGGGGTCAGTGCCAGGCATGTAGTATGTGCCCAACAAAGGTTTGTGAATGAATGGAACGAAGCCAGAAGGCGTCCCGGCCCCAGAAAGGGTTCCATGGACATAGATGGGAAATGCTGTGTTGTACCTGCTCAGCAGGCTCTTCTCCTGCAGGACTTCTCAGAGCCTTTAACTAACCACCGTTTACTGTGCCCTGGGAAGGGGCTGACGTAGGCAGCATTTCCCAAGCATCCTTTTGCCAAAGCATGTGTCCATGTTTCTAGAACTGGGGTAAGTCAGAACTGAGGCTGGTAATGCTCTTTCAGGCAATCCAAGGGAAACCGTGTCAGGGACCAGCTGAGAGCGTGGCCTCCAGAGTCAGGCAAACCAGCTGTGTCGCCTACTAACTGTGTGACCTCGGGCAAATCACTTTGCCTCTCTGAGCCTCAGTTATCCCATAGGCTTCCATGGGGATCATCACTCCATCTTTGTCCAGACTCCCATCTTCACCATTCTGTACCACACAGCAGTGGCCTCCTCCCTGGCTTCTTTGGCTCCCATCTGCCTCTCAGCCTTGGATATGATTTCTGAGTCTGGGGGACTCAAGTCCTCTTGGTCCCCATTCACTGTATTCCCAGCACCTAGCAGAGCAGGCCCTCCACACAATAACATTTGTGGAATGAATGAATCAACGAATGAATCAATGAATCAATGAACGATATTCCTATGTGAACACTCTGGGTTTAGTTTGGGGCGGGCATGGCCACCCCGCCCCCCCGATCCTCCTCCTACCCTTCTTTTGCACCTCAGTCTGGCTTGAACCTAAAGGAAGTCTATGGCCCACTCAGCAAACATTTATTCAATTGGAATAATTATACCCTTTTGGGAGCTGGTTGACCAGAAAGATGACTGGGAGAAAGCCCATACACAGATATTCATGAATAAACCACGGCCTCCACCTCTAGAGGGCAGTAGAGGCTCCAGGCCTGGGCTCCACACTCTGGGTGCATAAGCCTCTGGACTCCACAGCACACACAGCAGGGGGAGGGGGGTGGGGCAGAACTATAGCACTGTGCCCATTAGACAGATGAAGAGAGTGAGGTTCAGAGTGCTCAGTGACTCGCCCAAGATCAATCACACAGCTAGGAGGAAGCAGGGCAGCAATTTCGACCCAGGTTTCATCTGACTCCAGACCCAGCAGTCTTAACCCTCCATTGTCCTTGACCGAAAGGCATGGACACAAGGAAGAACACAGTTCTGGAGTCTGGATTGAAATCCTACCTCTCTGCTTTATCCCCTATTTGTGTGGCACTAAGCCAATCATTTCACCTCTCGGAGCCTCAGTTTCCTTATCTGTAACATAGGGCTAATAATCCCTCTTCTTACAGGGTCGTGAGGATTAAATGAGCTAGTAGATGGGAGAGAGATTTCTGAGGTAGCACCAATTTTGTGGCCAGAGGACAGGGAAACCTAGGAAATGCCTGCCTCCCAAAGGAAGCCCTCAGCTGAGCCTGAGGCAGCAGGGCCCACAGGGTGGCTGGCATATAACAGCTCTCCATAAACTGATGCAGAATGAATTATCATCTTCTGCTGGTGCTGCAGATTGTCCCAGAACACAGAGACACAGAGGCACAGAGTTTGAACCGGGGTTCCCCTTGGACAGACAATGGGAAAACAGGGGATACAGCAGAGCAGTGAGTTTGAGGCCAGGCACAGCCTAGACCCACACTGCAGCCTCAGGACCCTGAATGTGGTGCGCATGAGCCAAGAGGACCGCCACATAGGCCAAGGAGCCGCCTCTTCAGTCAAAATGGCCACCACGGTTGTCAAGATGGCCGCCACACGGCTGCCACATCTGCCCCCCAAAAGCTGAGCCCCGCTGAGACTGGACTTGAAACGGAACACATTAATTGTTAAACTGTGACCAGACTTCAAATGGAGTGAGTCAAAACCCAGGGCAGCCTACACATTCCAAGGAATAAGAAGAAACCCGTTAGCCCTTCCCTATGCCCCTGAGAATGCTGGGTAATTACTTTTTCCCCTTTGTCTTTTTGTTTTCTTTTAGCAGAACCACCAGGAAGCGGCCGCAAAAATCAGTTAAAGCTTCCAAAGTGCTTCTTCCCCCAGAAATCTTTTATAAAAGGTGAAAGATTTACAAGACCCGAAGAGCAAACCAAGCAGGATAATTGTTTTTGGAATGACCCCAATATTTTCACCCCGGCGACCCCGGCTGGGCATCTTGCCCCATATTTATGATTCCTGGTCCTCTGCACGCCGCCAGGCGACCTTTCTGAGCCCCCTCTGTGAGCCCCCAGTCCCTTATCGGGCCTGTAACTCACCCTGACGTTATCTCTCGGGAGGGTTTTATGCACTTTAATTTAACTCCCCCCATCATTATTTCCCGGACTTCAAGGTTTTCTCTTTCGAGCTGCCCTTCCCGGGACAAGCATAATCTGTTTGCCATCAAGCCCAATAAATATGTTTGTGCGGGAGACGGAACCATTTGGGGAGGGTGGCCCAGGCCTGGGAAGCAGCCTCCGGCTCTCACCGGGGTCTGGGCAGCAGGACTGGCCCGTGTGTCCTTGAGCCGCTGTCCTGCTGGGAGCCTCTCTGCCTCAGGTCTCAGGCCGGTGGCCAGATCCAGATCGAGCAAACGAAAATGCAGGCCAGCCGGTTACATTTGAATTTCAGGTGAACGATGACTTTTTTTTACTTTTAGTGTAAGTGTATCCCACTCAATTCATGCTAAAAAAAAAAAAAAAAAAAAAAGTGTTTGTTGTTTATCTGTGATTCTAATTGGACTATCTTATGTTTCATCTGGTCTCGGCTCCTGGGGGCCACCTGCTCCCTCCCCTGAGTGTAGGTTAATACACTGGAGAGTGGATTCCTTGATGAGGGCTCCCATAACACTGTACCACAGGCTTAAACAAAAGAAATTTGCTTTCTTACAGTACTTTTTTTTTATATATATGTTTAATTTTGAGAGACAGAGCACGACCGGGGAATGGACAGAGAGAGGGAGACACAGAATCTGAAGCAGGCTCCAGGCACTGAGCTGTCAGCACAGAGCCTGACGTGAGGCTTGAACTCACAAACTGTGAGATCATGACCTGAGCCGAACGAAGCAGGCTCCAGGCTCCGAGCTGTCAGCACAGAGCCTGACACGGGGCTCAAATTCACAAACCATGAGATCGTGACCTCAGCCAAAGTCAGATGCTTAACCGACTGAGCCCCCCAGGCACCCGGCTTTCTTGCAGTTCTGAAAGCCGGAAGTGTAAGATCGGCAGGGTTGGTTTCTCCCGAAGTCTCTCTCCTTGGCTTGCAGATGGCTGACTTCTCCCTGGATCCCTCTGTGTCCTAATTTCCTCTTTTCATAAGGACACCAGTCATACTGGATCAGAACTCACCCTCATGACTTCATTTCAACCTCATTAATTCCCCGAAGACCCTATCTCCAAATACTGTCTCTTTCTGAGGTACAGGGGTTAGGACTTCAACATACAAATGTGGGAGGGGACACGTTGAAGCTCCCAACAAGAGGTCCCAGAGAGTGAAGGGGGCAGGGCAGTTCTGTGCTGAATAAATAGTCCTGCCTGGAGCACAGCTGTTTACTCCTGACCCACCCAGCCCCCGACTCTCAAAGTCCGGGAATACCATGGTGAGAAACTTCTGTCCTCGTGGCCTGACGCGGGCCTCACCCTCCTGGCATGGGGTGGGGGGAATGGTCCTCCCCTGGCGCCTGGCTATCCCCACGAGGCCCCGAGGTGCACGGAGCTGATCCCCGTGGAGCTGGTCCTTTAGGGCAGCACCTTGACGGCCCGGCCTTGGAAGACACTCTCGTCCAGCTCCACGGCGGCCTAGGCTGAGCTCTCGGAGGCAAACTCCATGTAGGCATAGCCCTCGGGGTGTCCGGGGAACTTGTCACACAGCCTGGTGACCCAGTGGGCGTCCCCACAGGAAATGAAGTAGGCCTCCAGCTCCTGGGCCCTGCCCCCTTGTCCACGTTGTCCACGTAGACTGGTCTTTGGTCCTACTCCACCTTCTCCGTGGGGGTCCCAGGGCTCATCCCTGGCCCTCGAGGTCCCTGTGCCCTCCTCCTCCCCGGCCTGGCCCTGCGCCCTGGGCTGCTTCAGCCCCTGGGCCCGCTCCCTGGCCCACAGCTTCGGTTCGATGGCCTCCAGCTCCCAGTACCCGGCCAGGCCCTCCCCTTGCAAGATATGGATCTAACCACCTCCCGAGTCAAGTCAGAGTCAAAGGGGTACTGACCAGCCACCCCGTGAAGACAAGAACCCTGCGCGTCTGGCCACCGCTGGCTCCCCAGCACCTGCACCTGGCTCAGAGCAGGGCCGCAGGGAATGTGATCAGGACCCTGTCAGATGTCCTCCGCACTGTCACCTGACCTCGCCATTGTGCGTGGAGATGCTGAGCGGTCCCCAAGGGCCCTGCGGGGCAGGTATGACTGGTCAAGGAGTGCAGGAGTTCCTGGGCAGCTTTAGATCAAGTAACGATCTCACCTTTTGCGGGTTTGAGGCCTGCATCAGGCTCTGTGCTGACAGCTCAGAGCCTGGAGCCTGTTTCAGATTCTGTGTCTCCCTCTCTCTGACCCTCCCCCATTCATGCTCTGTCTCTGTCTCAAAAATAAACGTTAAAAAAATTTTTTTTAAGTTAGGGGAAATAAACATAATGTTAAATGCATCTGAGTCATACAAACTGCATGGAAACACAGAAATGAAATCATGTAAAATCTGGAGAAATTTGTGTTAGGCTGTGTTTCTTTTTTTTTTTTTTTCCTTAATAACCTTTTTTAATGTTTATTTTTGAGAGAGCGCAAGTGGAGGAGGGGCCGAGAGAGAGGGAGGCACTGAACCCAAAGTGGGTTCTGCGCTGAAAGCAGCGAGCCCGATGCGGGGCTCGAACTCACGAACTGTGAGATCACGACCTGAGCCGAATTTGGATGCTTCGCTGACTGAGCCACCCAGGCATCCCGAGGCTGTGTTTCCTTAGCAGAATAATACCATTGATTTTCCTGGTTTCTTTTTTTTTTTTTTCTAATGTTTATTTTTGAGACAGTGAGAGAGAGAGAGTGCAAGCAGCACAGGGGCAGACACAGAACCTGAAATGAGCTCCAGGCCCTGAGCTGTCAGCCCAGAGCCCAACACGGGGCTCAAACTCACAAACCGTGAGATCATGACCTGAGCCAAAGTCAGACAACCAACTGAGCCACTCAGGCGGCGCCCCTGATTTTCCTGGTTTTGGTAACGTCTCACAGCTCTGCAAGATACTACCTTTGTGGGAAGCTGGGGGAAGGGTATCCTGGACTCTCATGACTATTTTTGCAACTTTCGTTAAGTCTACATAATTAACGATAAAATAAAAAGTTAAAAAAATTTTTTAATGTTTATTTTTGAGAGAGAGAGACAGAGTTATGAGCAGGGGAGGGGCAGAGAGGGAGACACACAATCTAAAGCAGACTCCAGGCTCTGAAGTGTCAGCACAGAGCCCAACACAGGACTTGGACCCACGAACTGTGAGATCATGACCTGAGCCAAAGTCGGGCACTTAACCGAGCCACCCAGGTGTCCCTAAGAAGTATTTTAGAAAATTTAAAAACATGAGCGCTTGAGTGGCTCAGTCATTAAGCATCTGCTTTGGTTCAGGTCATGCTTTCCCAGTTCATGAGTTCAAGTCCCACATCGGGTGAGCTCGAGCCCTGCTTTGTGTGAGCCCCGCTTCTCTCTCTCCCTCAATCTCTCTCTCTCTCTCTCTCTCTCTCTGTCCCTCACTCACTTGCGCCCTCTCTCTCAAAAAAAAAAAAAAATGGAAAATTTAAAAATGAGAAATGTATTGAAATCAGAACCAAATTTTTATTTACATAACATTTATGAAGCCCTAGGGAGAATTAAAAACAGTCTAGTGAGCCCGGGTTGAGCTTTGAAAGATATGATAGATATGACTTCTAAGCACAAAGAATTTTGTGTGGGAAAGTTTATTAATACATAACAAAGCTTGGCTGATACTAGCATAAAGAGGCACACTAAAAAGAATGATAGTAAAAACTTCATAAACATTGGATGAAGTAGAACTCTCGTATCTTAATGCTGTCTGATTTTCTCTCCTGACCCCAAGGTTATTGGATTTTTTGTGATCATTATCCAATCATGTGCCCCTTTGATGTGAAGATTTGCTTTTACTCATCTTTGGAAGACTCTATCAACTCCTAATACTTCTAAATATTATTAATATCTTGGCTTCTGTCCTTAATAGCCCAGATGAAATAAAAAAAAACAAACAGAGAAAAAGAATACGCCTGAGTCAGAGAAAATGGCACACGAGGAGGAAAGTGTAATCAGATAATACAGTAAAACAAAGGCTTTACTCCAGGAAAGGCCATTACTACAGACGGCAGGAACCTGTCTCGTCACTTCTTATTCCCGGAGTCTGGCACAGAGAAGGCCCCCGATAAATATTTGCTGAGTGAGTGAGTGATGCCTCAGTTGGACTTTGCCCCCAGCCTCACTGGCGGATGAGCCTCCTTGAGTTGGTACCCAGAACACGAAATGCTGCCATTGGAGGCCCAGAGGTCCATAGAGGCCTGGGTCTGTGCACTGGAGCCAGAGGCGGCCACTGCCCGTCCCTTCCCTGGTGCCCTGGGACCCGAGAATCCACCTTCCGGGGTCCTTGGCACTGTGGCGTGCAGAAAAGGGAAGACACTCGGGAGATGGGGGGGAGCATGTGCTCCACTCAGGAGGCCTGGCCCAGCGGTCTGGGGAGGCCTCGGATCTGTAGAGACATGGTGCTTCTGGGAGGGTCTCCTGATACAATAAAAGATTATCAGCTAAATAAAACAAGAAGTGACTGGGGCCACTATGCCCTGTTGGATTGAAATCGTGTGAGCAAAGTGGTTTTCTCTGAGAGATTTATTTCCTGTGCTGGCTTCAGGCAGCCAGCCCAGCCGGAAAGAACGGGGCTGGTCTCCCTCCATGTGGGGGGCCGGGGTGGGGGGAGGGTGGCGCGGGTTTTTATTTAATCTTCCAATGAGCTGGAACAGTGAAGATGGCGTGAATGGACATTAATTCTGAAACAAATTATTAAAGCGCGATCTGGGATTCCGGGAAAGCCATCTACCCCCTGCCTTTCTGCCACTTCCCCTCACCAAGGCCATAAAATCCCTCCTCTCCACTCAAAACCCAACATCAAGCCAACTGGGTCTCCCGTTCAGGCTGAGGAGAGAGGCCTGGAATTGACCTCAGCCCAGGGCCAATGGAGCAGCAGGACTGTCTATGCCTCCAGACCTAGGCCACCTGCCTGCCTGGGCCTTGGCCCCTGACAGAGATCCCCACATTTCTTGCTCCCTCGTACCTGTATTTGCGTTCAAGGGGGCCACAAGCAAGATGGCCACCACCTCTCTCGCTCATGTGGGCTCAACCTCCGTCTCCTCCATCATAGGTACGTCAGCTCTTCTTGGGCCTTCCGGCCCCCTTCCTCACACCTAGCCCAGCCCAGGCCAGTGTGGATCCTGGATCCTGCCCTCTTCAGCTGACATCCCACACCTCACTGCCAGGCCCTGCCCAGGCCTCCCAATGCTGAGCCCAGAGGGTTCATTCAGCATCTGAGGGTAGAGAGAGCCAGAGTTCAAGTAAGGAGCCAGAAAGCATGGTATGGGGGTTTCTGGGGCCTCTGGCTGGGCCCTGGAGACACAGAGAAAAGTCAGACCCAGCACCCCTGGTGGCCAGTCTAGGAGAGGAGAGACAGCCATTGGTGAGCCAGTGCCGTGAAGAGGGTACACCAGGCATAGGGCGGTACACAGACCGATGAATCAAGTCGGCTGGGTGCCGGGGTGAGCCTGGAGGGGCTTCCAAGATAAGATCCCTGACATGGACACTGAGTAAACCAACGGGACCAGGACATTCTGAGGGGAGAAAACAGCATTTGCAAAGGTCTGGAAGTAGAATATTTACCGTTGTGTGCAAGATCTATAATAATAGTAGTAATAATAATAATAATAATACCAACAACAACACTTAAAATTTATTGAGAATTTACTATGTGCTGAGCTATTTCATGCATGTTCCCTAATTTTAGCCTTTCCAACAAGCCTATAAGGAGGTAGGAATTATCATTATTTCCATTCACAGATGGGGAGACTGAGGCTCAGAGAGGCCCCGTTGCCCAACATCAAGCCAGTATGTGGGAGAGCCAGAATTTGAACCCAGGTCTGTCTGACTCCAGGGACAGTGCTCGTTGCCCCCACCATTCACTACCCCACCCCACCCCCCAACGAGATCCAGGCTTCTCCTGCTGGCCCAGCTGTGGAGGACCAGCAGGCTTTGCATCCAGGTCCATTCCCCTGAGTAAGACACTAGGGAGCCCAGGGCCCCTTCTGGTGGAGCCGAGCAGCTCACCATGCCCATGGCCATGGGCCCACTTGTCCAGGACTCACATTCTTCAATGATCAGGAAACATCTGGAGGCCATATGGCTTGACATCCAATGTAGACAGGCCACTCAGGGCTCCTGAGTCCCAGAGCCTGGCATGGATCAGAGCCAAAGGCTCGCCAGGGCTCCCATCAGGCCTGGCTGGGAGTCCCTGACCTGCTCCTTCTCCTGGCCATGGCACCTCTATCCACTAGGCTGCACGAGCCAGAAACCTGGGAGGGCCCTCCTGTCTCCTGCCTATCACTCCCCACCCCATCCCTCAGCAAGTGCCGATACCCCCATCACAAAGCACATCCCCAAACCAACCACTCCTTCCTGCCCACCTCGCCCCTCCCTTGGCTCAGCACCCCCATCCCTCCCCCTCCACGACTCCCACCCATCCTCCCCTCCACAGACTAAGGAAGATCCTTTAGAAACCCAGATCCAGTCGGGCCCCTCCACCTTCCCACCTCATTTTGTTTTAAAACGCCTCAACGGGCGTCAGTTAGGCACCCGACTTCAGCTCAGGTCACGATCTCGCTGTTCATGGGCTCCAGCCCTGCGTGGGGCTCTGTGCTGACAGCTCAGAGCCTGGAGCCTGCTTCGGATTCTGTGTCTCCCTCTCTCTCTGCCCCTCCCCTGCTTGTGCTCTCTCTCTCTCTCAAAAATAAATATTAAAAAAAATAAAATAAGAAAATAAAACCCTCCAGTGGCTGCTCCCCACAGGCTTTGGACCGTGCCCAGGGTCTTTGCCACGTCTGGGTTCCGATGTGCTTGTCTTCCACAGGCCTCACCTACCTCAGCCCTCACTACTCACCCCCTCTCAGAGCCCTGGCTCCATGGCTTGCCTTCCTGTCCTCAAAAAATGCCGTCCCTCCTGCTTCAGGACCTGCACCTGGCTGGCTGGCCCCTCCTTCCAAACTTGCCCTTTGGGCCCCTCATTCTGTCACCTTCGAGGTCCCACCTCCCACCACCCCCAGTGGAGACCAAGCCCTGCTATGAGTTCGTGTCCTCCTTGAAATCAAATAACGTATAATTAGTGTCCAGCCCTTGATAGACCTGGAACCCAGGGAGGCAGGGCTCTCGATGCTCAGCATGGACTCTGGCAAACAGTAGGTGCTCAATAAATGAGTACTGTTTCATAAAGAAAAGCACCAACCCCCAGCCCTTCAGCATCCCTCAAACCCTCCCCAGTGCCCAGCCCTGCTGGGGGAGGAGGGCTGGGGGAAGAGCCGGATGGACCTGCCCCTAAGGAGTCCAGATCTCATGGAGGGTGCGGTGAAGCAGGCGGGAAAGAGGGGAAGGCTTGGGAAGGGGGCGGGGCTCATGCCCCTCCCTCCACGTGCCTCCGTAACTTCCCAGAAGCAGGAACACCTGACAGTTGTCCATGTCGGGATCACAGACAGGGGGACGCAAAACCAGTGCATGGTAAAAAGAAGTCGTCATCCTCTGAGTTCTCTGATGGCGGGGAAAGAGTACATTTTTCATCAGCCTAGACAACAAAAACAAAGCAAAACCAAGCATTTGGAAAGAACTTAGTTGGCCATGGCCCTTGAAGTGTGTCACCTTTCCAGCTAGTGATTCGCTCAGCACCCTGCCCGAGCCAGTGGGCTCAGCTCAGGTTTCGCCTCGCTCGGGATACAACGTGGAGTCTTTCTGGTTTGCCAGAATGATTTGCTGTGTCTCTTTATTCTCCAGGTCCCTCTGGGGGCTCTCCACTGGCCATAGGGCCAGGTGTCCCCCCCGTCCCTGGTTTTGGGTCTGAGTTCCTGGGAAGAGTAGCTGGGGACACAAGCAGAGGGTGACAATGGCCCCACCCCAGAGACTCATCCTGCCACCCTGGTGGGAACAAAGCCTCGAGGAATGAGAGAAGGGGGCGAGGGGCTGGGTAGGTGGCCAGCAAGAGCTCTTAGGGGGCTGGGCTGAGCCTGGATGGGGCTTCCTCAGACCAGCATTGACGATGACAATGAATCACACACAGGTCCCCCGGTCTGGCCCCGGGTGGAACACTGGCTGCCCTAGAGGCCTAGTGCAGCCTGCGCTCACGCAATCAACTATAGGTTCAGGACCTTAGCGCACAGATGGTGGGGTTCGCCGGTGTCACGCAGATAGGACAGAGGACAGGCCCACGCGCAGGGTCGGGAGGCCCTCGAGAACACAGTTCACCCAGCACATGCGGACGCGGTACAGCAAGACGGAAGGCGGAAGGCCCGGCAGGGCCCCGAGGGTGGTTCGGGGATTCACGATGTGGTCCAGCGCGGCTCATAGTTGCATTTGGATTTGAGGCCACCGGGCTGTCCTGTGGCGAGTAGGTAAGAGAGAGACTGGAGGGCAAGAAGGGGCAGCGGTGGCCAGAGAGAGAGAAGGGGCGAGGAGGGACAGTGGGCCAGAGACCTCAGGGATAGGAGCACCATTGTCGCAGACATCTCTGCTTGGTGAGCAGAGCTGGTGGGGCTCCAGGTGTCCGGGCTCAGAGGCTCGTGCACCTGTCAGAGCATCTCTACCACCTGTCACAGCGTCTCCACCCTCTGGCTCCAGCCAGCAGCTAGTCTGCCTCCTCTCTCTCTCCTGCTGGCTCTTCCTGGTTCCTTGTCCCCAGCTGGAGGAAGGGGTTCTGAGCCCACCAGCAAAACTGCAGCCTCCTACCTTTGATCTGGGCAAGGCAAGAATGGGGGGCCCCCGGCCCCCGCCACTGCACTCCCTCACTCCTGCAGTCCCCACTGTGGCCACACAGCCCCAGCTCTCTTCAGTCAGGGAGCCTTCACCCCCTGGCCGCCCGTCTTCTGAACCCTCTCAGGAGGCCCAGGACAGCCATTCCCGCCCCTCCAGCAGGCCCACCACTGCCATGACCGAGCCCTGGCAGCTGCCCTGAGAGAAGAACTATGTGTCTATTTTACACACAAGGAAACTAAGGCTCGGGAAGGGGCAGTGACCTGTCCAGGGTCACTCAGGGAGGAACTGAAGAGATGGGGTCCCTGAGATCTGTCTGTCTCTCAATCTCAGCTCTTTCCCCCTACCCAAAGCAGCTCCCATAAAGAAGGGCACGCCACACACAGCGTCAATGAACCTGCCGCACAGGAAGTACTTCATTATTTCTGATCTGCTCAGGGCTCTCCCAATTGCAGAACAGTGAAAATGCAAACCAGCTAAGGTCGATAAGGGATTTATGGCTCAAAAGCCAAAGAAAGAACGTGGTAGTGAAGGTTCCAAAGCCGTTCCAGCAGAAAAGCTTCTGGCCAAGGGGGTCACATGCCCATCTCTGAACCAACCACAGCCCCAGGATGGGGCACTCCGATTGGCCAGGCCTGGATCATGCCTCCTTTGCTGTCCTCAGTAGTGGGCACAGGGCTTGCTACCAAGAGGGAAGGGAAGAAAATACAGCTCAGAGATTAAGCAACTCTCCCAGATCACACAGCATGCCCTGAATCCGTGTGTGTGTGTGTGTCTATGTCTAGGTGGGGTGAGGGTGGTGACACAGTAGTTTAGGAGAGAGATTCTCCCGGCTTCTACGGGAGAAAGTTCAAATTTCCTTTTTTCTGGCACTGAGGTCCTCCAACCTCTGGCTCCTGCTAGGCCGTCTCTCTCCCCACCTCCCCTTCTGATCACCACCGCCCCCCAACACGTGCAGCCCCCAAAGATGTGTCCCACCTGCTCTGCTGGACTAGGCATGTCTGACAGGGGTGGGGCCTTACTCCTCTCTAAACCCCCTCTCCCAACCCTACTTCCCCGACTCCAGGCTCGGAGCTCAGGGCAGCTACTTATGAAATGTGTGGATTCTGGAATGAGCTGGAAAGGACACAACGGTCCTCAGGTCAAAAACCTCCACACAGTCAGCTCACCACCTCCAAGGCCATACAAATCTGCTGCTGCTGCTGCTGATTTGGGGCAAGTCAGTCCCACCCCCACCCCTCAAGCTGGCCCCCCGGAGCTCACCTGCCTTCGGGGCTTCGCCTCCAGGCCTTCTCTGGGAGATCAAAAGTTTTCTTTGGGCCCAGCGTACACTCAAGAGGATGCCCTACAAAGACACACACTTAGATGCATGCACACACACACACACACACACACACACACCACAGCACCCCAGCTGTTTCCTTCAAAAAGGGATGGTGACCATCTCCCAGTCAAGTCTTCCCTTTGGGGAAGCAGCTCAGGAACCCGGAGATGGGGATTTAAGGGGGAGGAAGAGACACCCCATCTCTCTGCCCCTGCGGGGACCTCCGCTAAGAACAAAGAAAGAATTCCCCGGGCTGGACACACGTGCCCAGCACCCACCCCAGGCACCCAAACCCGTGCACAGCACACGCAGGCCTCCCCATGGACTCTCAAGGCCGGAACACGTCCCTGTTCCCACTTATGACTACCCTTACCACACGGGTGGACTCCACTCGCTGTCGCACAGCCACCAGGACCCTCCCCACGCCCCCCCTCCCCCCCAGAGCACAGCCGCTGCAGCGAGCCGGTCCATCCACCCCGCAGGCCCAGGAAAGCCCGAGGGTGTAGGGCCCGCGTCTCCGGAGCCTCGGTCGCCCAGGCCTGGGTGGCAGCTGCGGGGACAGTGTATGAGGTGGGGGATCCGGCCGCTCGAAGGTCCACCTGTACCCTGCCTACGCGTCCGTCTGGGCCTTGGCCTTGGCCTCCGCCGGCGGGGGTGCGACCCCTAGCGCCCCAAACACATACGGGGGTCTCCGCGGACCGACGGGCCGATGGCGGCGGGGACGGCCACGCGGGACCGAGAACGGCCGAGACGCGCGGCCGCGGGAGCCGCCGGGGAGGCCCAACTGCAGCCTCGTGGCGCCACCTATGGTCCGCACTGCGGCGGCTTCCCGGCCCCCGGCGCCCGCGGCTCGGTCCTGCAGCCCGTCTCCGCGTCTCAGGGTGGCCCCGCCGCCCCTCCCGGATTCAGCCCCGGGGTTGGGGTTGGCGGGGGCGCTGCCACCGCGTCACGTGCAGAGAGGCCCCGGAGCCCGCAGCTGCGACCTCACCTGCCCCTCTGCTCTGCTGCCCCCCACCCCCCTCCGCTTCCCGGTTACAGAAGGGGACACGGAGGCTCGGCCACAACCCGGAAGTGGAGAGACCAGGCCGGGACCCTGACTCTGGGGCTTGTGGAATCCGGGCAGCTGAAGCTGGCCTGCCACCCGCGCTGGCCACCGACCATGCTCACCTGTACCCACCGGCCTCATCCGAGAAGATCCATCTGCCTCCAGTCCTCCTCTGAGCCCCCAGCCTCCCCCTGAGCCCCCCACCCACAGCCTGCCCCTCTGTCCTCGGGAACTGCTCCCACCTAACACTGTCCTGGAGTCTTAGAAAAGTCACACCAGGAAACAAGAAGCTTGGAAACCCAGCCTCACTACTCACCTTGGGCCCAGAAAACCAAGACCTGTGCAGGCTCCTTTGCCCTGGCCTGGCCTCTGTGAGTCAGATTGTCTGTCTAGACTGAGATCTTCAGGCCCCTCTGTCTGCCACCACCTACTGTGGCCTGCAGGGACAGGGTGATGACAGTGGTGAGAACCTTTGGAGCATATGCTCTGGGCCAGGCCCTGAAATCCTCACTCCGAATCAACCCGTGGGGGAGTATTATTACTATTCTGTACTAAACTGAGAATCAGGAGGCTCGCCGGAGCTCACATGTAGCAGGTGAGGGGCAGAGTTGAGACTGGCCTGGCGACGTGACCCACCCTGGCACGACCCGCTTGCTCATATATACATCACAAGAGTCACAATAATACTGGTCACGTGTGTGAGATTCCAGCCCAAGCCTGGCCCTCAATGTCCCCAGCATGGCAGATGCCTCCAGGCTGACCCTCCAGCTTTACATATGGGCAGAATGAGTCCACAGAGATCCGGGGCCTGGCTCAGGATCACACAGAGCTGCTGTGGCCTAGGCTGCTCAAAACCCAGGCAAGACAAGAGTCTAGGGCCCAGCTGGGCCTCCAGGGTCACAACCCCCACTGTGTAGGGTCAACAGCTCAGCTGCAGCTCTTTGTCTGGGAAGGGAGGGGACAGACATTGACACAAGCAATAACAAACTCAGAGGTCAGAGCTGACGTGAAGTCTTGGCTGGGGCTTGGAAAAGCCCAGGGAAGAGACTAGATGTGGGAGGGGCCCGTCAGGGAAGGAGTCCCAAGCAAGTGACATCCAGTGGGTTTTAAAGGATGAGTAGGAGTTTGCCAGTGGAAAAAATGCAGGCAGGGATATTTCAGGGGACCTGGGGATTTCAAGGCCTTAGAGAGCATGGCCAGTTCCATCTATACCTTGGTAGTTAAGGGTATGGGCTAGATAGGCCTGGATTGGGGTCCCAGTCCTGTTGTGTGACCTGTGGCAGGCGACTTAACCTTTTGAGTTTGCATTTCCTCATCTGTAAAATGAAAGCCATGATGATCTCTTCAGTCACGGGGCAATTGCAGAGTTAGCACAGTGTGGCACGCACAGAGGGGAACACACAGGTACCCAGTAGAAAAGGCTAGAGGCTATTGGTGGGGACCAGATAGGAGCAGTGAATGATGTGGCTGAGGAGGTCATCAGAGATCAGATAGCGAGGGACCTTGAAAGTCAAGCTAAGGAATTTGGCTTCCTGCTGAAGGCAGTGGGAGGGCGTGGAAGGGCTTTGAGTCAAGGGGTTACAAATGGGATTTATGTTTTAGAGGGTGCC